GTTATCTAGGACCATTTATTGTGATTACTGATGTCGAAACTGCTGTGTTGACAACAGTCTCCATGGAAACTCCATAACGACCATGTCACTTCTGCTAGACCCCAGGTTCTAACTCTTGCAGAGTCACTGCTGGTCACTGGGAAATTAATCATTTATAAAGCACTTCCTGTGAAAAGGGCTGTCCGGGGAGTCTTCAAAGGGGAACTGAGTGGCGTGAGGACCCCACGGTGTAACACAGAGCTCCCCTGTACCCTGTGTAATTAAACATGTCATTTGGTCTCAGATGGTTGTCTCCATGGAGATGTATGACACAGGTCTGACGTCTCCAACAGTATGCAGGTGGCCTTGCTGTATGCAGTATGCACTGGCCTTGCTGTATGCAGTATGCACTGGCCTTGTTGTATGCAGTATGCACTGGCCTTGCTGTATGCAGTATGCACTGGCCTTGTTGTATGCAGTATGCACTGGCCTTGCTGGCAATGAGCTCAAATTGGCAATGAGCTCAAATTCTGTAGTTACACATTGCATGATTACTGTGTCTCACATGGTCATCTTTTAGTGGTTAATTTTATTATAGTTGCATGTTGGCTGCTTTCACTCCCATAGGGCTGTTTTGAGCCTTGCTTAATAGGGCTCGTCTCCCATTCTTTTCAAACCCGTGACATGCAGCTCAGTTCCTGTCACACCAAAGGAATGCTGGGGGTTCTCTCTTTCTGAAATATTTATTATTTTCCATTTACTCTTGACTATAGAGCGGGTTTCCTTTACTGTGTTTTGAAGTATTGTGTGTTATGCTTTCTGTCTCCCCCCCCCCCCCTACCCCCGCTAACCCTGTGTTCTGTGTTGTTTGCCTTACATGTATTTCTATTGCTACACACTGGCTCTCCCAGACCCCCCAGCTCTACCAGCTTCTGCTCAACCCCATCTGCAAGGTAAGCACCATCTGAATGTGGCTGTTTAGCCCTTTCCCATCTTTTCATTATACACTTCAGGCTAATGTAAAGAGCGTCCTGTCTTTTCAGGTTAGTGATGTATGGGCCCTGTCTTGCCTTTTGCCTTTCAGGGTAATGCTAAGTGGCCCCTAACATTTCCTTGTACTCTTCATGCTAATGCTAAGCGGCTTCTATCATTTCCTTGTACACTTCAGGCTAATGCTAAGCGGCTTCTATCATTTCCTTGTATTCTTCAGGCTAATGCTAAGCAGATGCCATCATTTCCTCGTATTCTTCAGGCTTCATCATTTCCCTGTACTGTTCAGGCTAATGCTTCATGGCCCGCATCTTTTACTGGTACCATTCCGGCTAATGCTAAGAGGCCTTTATCCTTTTCCTTGTACCTTTTAAACTAATGCATAGTCGCCCCCATCTTTTCACTACACCCTTCAGGCTAATGCTAAGTGGCCCCTATTTTTTGTGCCCTTTTATGCTAATGCTTAGCTGACTCCTTCCTAAATGTGGGCTCGCTGCCCTGTTAGCTTATCTCTGGCCTGATCTCGACGCTTCAGTTCATGTGCAGACTCCCTTGTTACTGCCTATGAACCAGTTTCTCCCGCGTAGTTATAGTGCGAGTTATAAGACCTGTGTGTGACGCAAAGGCTCTGCGATTGACGAAAGGTCCTTCAGCTTCTACAGCTGAGAGAGAGGTGTAAATGCAGGAGGTCACAGTTCTGGATCCCCCCATCTGAAACAACGAGAACAGCAGCTTGGTATTTCTCATCAACCCAAAAATTATTTAAATGAGGTGACTGTCGATTCACACAGACTGGAAACCAGAGTGCCTTCTGCAGTCCCACATCACCCTCGGCGATGCCCTTGACTGCCCCGTAATCAAAGATCCTGCAGTCGCCACACCTGGCTGCCGCGCTCTTATCTCTGTTACGCCTGGCTGGTTACCGAGCAGCACAAAGCAGCACCGGCATGCTTAGCAGCGGCTGCGGTCGCGCGGCTGCCTGAATAGAACTTCCTTTTCTGAACATTGGGTGGCGCAGTGGTTAATGGTCATTGCCTAAGATTAATCTAAGAAAGGCAAAAGGCAAGACAGGGCCCATACATCACTAACCTGAAAAGACAGGACGCTCTTGTCATTAGCCTGAAGTGTATAAGCGATGTTTCAAGATTTATCATTTGTAAATTTTAAGTCATTAGATACAAAGTGGTACCAAAATTAAAGATGGATTAAAGGAGACTGCGCTCAGTCCCTCGCACTTCAGAGACCGTGCTGCACTGTATCAGGGATCAGCAATGCGTTATGAGCCCTAGGAGGGTTGGTCTTCCCAGAGTTCGGCATTGCCCCGCCTTCTCGAGTTGGGTGGGGGGTTTGGAGGGGGGGTTTGGAGGGGCAGTCGGCTCTGCAGTTACTCAGTTGACTAACACTCATCAACTGAAACTGACAAACTTCTGTTTTCTCACCACTAATCCACATCCAGAATAAGTTCCCCTATTGAAATGGCTCTTAAAATAGTCCCCCCACGTGTGCAACAGACATCCTGTGGGTCCAATTAACACCTCCCACTTTCGCTGCTCGCCCACACTCTGGAAACCTCAATCTTGACCGCAGACGGGCAGGGAGGGGCAGCAGGGTAGTGGAAGGGCCCGTCACTGGCCTCGCAGTTCCTGTGAGATAATCCTGACGCCATTCCTTGTTTCATGACATTTTTGATAATAACTTTGATATTCCTTTTAGGTGAAAAGCTAAAATCAGGTGAAGAAAGAACAGTTAGGATATATATATAAAAAAAAAAAACGTTTAAAAAAAAAAACCCACCAAACCGAAATTTCATTTGACTCAAACCTGGGAGATATTTCCTTTCCTGGTTGATACAGGATGAGTCTACCATCTTGATCATCCCGTGAGCATACTTACCTAGGAATGTAAGTGAAAATCCTTCTAAATATAGCTCTAAATATGCGTGTGAGCTCACATGTTTGTGCAGCTTATGTGAGTCTTGTGAGTCTTGTGGGTTTGTCACAAAACCATCTCATTAAGATGAGCTGCTAATGTATGGCCAGTATTTGCAGAGGCTCATGGGGGAAATTCATCCCGGTGGGGATGTTTGTAGCACAGGGTGCCCTCTGATGGCCATGTTTGGAAGTGCTCGTCTGTCCACCGGAGGAAGAAATCGAGATTTTGTACCAGCACATTTCAAATGTTATGCTGCTGCAATTCTGTTTGGTTGCAGCATCTGGATCAAATGTGGTCTGAATGTTATATCCAGTTACAAACTGTGAAAATTAAAAGTGTAGAGAATGAATGGAATCAAGTAGATATATTTAAATTGATAGAACCAGATGGTGAGATTTTTATATATATAATATATATATATATATATATATATATATATATATATATATATATATATATACACACACACACCTTATGACGGTGGTGTTCTCCACGATGTACGTTCTTCTTGCAGTGTGCTCCAGAGAGCCTGTGACACGTCTCTCTTCCTTGTCTCCTGACAGTACCCTGGATGATGACAGCACCAGCCTCAGACAGCAGAAACTGGAAAAGCAGGTGAGACTCTTACCGAGACATCACCCGTCTGCCGTTCTGGGGTGAAAAGCACCCGGCAGCACAAGGAGAATCTACCGCGGCGACCCACACTGAGTATTTGTGGGTGATCCAGGAGTCAAATCACATGGGCAGCTTAGTCTCTGTCTTCATTTCATTCATCTGATTAGCTTAGCGGCGATAATTAGCCTGGTGGCTAACACATAGTCTGCTTAAAATGATTGCCTACTTCAGCCTCTTGGTACTTCATAAACATGGCTTTACCTTTTGGCATCTAGGTTCATTTCTGTTCTGTTTTTATTCACTCTTGTTCACACTTCTGATTGCGACTTAGCCTGTTGTTTGGAGGTTAATGTGAATCGAATGAGGATGACATGGCTCTCATTCAGAGGCTCAGTATCTTCATTCTCTTGCTCCTCTGGGCATGTGATTGGTTCACACGGGCTTTTCCCTCTTGCTCTTGAGCACGCCTTGAGCGATCCGTGTGAGTCAGAGAGCCGCTCTCCGGCTGACAGGGTGTCCGGTGCTGCAGACAGCACCTCCACGAAATGCGAAGAACAGTGTGTCTCATCTGGGATGGTTCGGAATGGGAATGTAGGTTGGGCGGATTGTAGTGGTTGAAGCTAGATTAGGATGATTGTAACCTGGAGCAGAGTGGAGTGTGCCGGGCAGAGGGTGTAAGTAGCAGTGTGGTTGACGTGAGGGGGTGCGGACAGCTTGCCGTCAGCACTGTGCTGAGACCAGCTGTTCCCAACAGGTGTGTGGTCTGGCTGACTGTTCCCCAGCTTAAACCACAATAGGATCAGTCTGTTCTCTCCACGTGTCCGTCATGCTGGAGCCCCGCCCGCTGAGTTTTACCCAATCATGTGGACAGGAGGATTCAGTAACCCAGGCTGAAGGAAGTGGCGAATGCCGCACAGGGTTATGGTTATGGTGGAGGTTTATTGATTGTACAATGACTCATACTGGTTTTTCTCCCATGTTCGCACGCAGCAGGATGTTCTCCCCCAGTTTGCCCAGTACTATAAAACCATTTAAAACCATTGTTGGATTGGAACTACTGTAGTGGAAGAATTTCCACTCAGGAAGTGACGGAAACATACGTACTGACACAGACACACAGACACACACACCGTGGGTCTTTCCTCCTTGCGGTGTATCCCGATGTGGTGTTGGGGTGGCAGTGAAGAGGAGAAGCAGAGGTGGGGATTTTATGAGTAGAGCTTACAGGGTCCAGTTCGCTGTGTGTCTCTCTCGCGCCTCTCCTGCTCTCTCTCTCTCTCTCTCTCTCTACACCTCCCTCCCTCTCTCTCTCTCTCCCACCGTCTTTCCCTCTCGGCTCTGAGCTGCTGATCCAGAGAAGCGTTCCATCCCGCTGGCGCCCAGCTGATGATGTCTTGGGAGAGGGTGGGTGATGACGCTCTGTGTGTGTGTGTGTGTGTGTCTGTGTGTCTGTGTGTCTGTGTGTCTGTGTGTGTGTGTGTGTGTGTGTGTGTGTGTGAGTGTGTATGTGTGTGAGTGTGTGTGTGTCTGTGTCTGTGTCTGTGTGTGTGTGTGTGTGTGTGTGTGTATACACGTATGTTCTGCTTTCCCCTACACAGACTCCTGACCCGGCCTCGCGCGGTTATCAGGGCGTGATCTGGTTTCTCCAGAGGACACATACTTCCTGGAACGCCAAGCTTCAGACTCCTGCTTCATTCTTGTTGCTTTTTTTTGCTTCTTCCCTCGTTTTGTTGGGTCACTGCGGTCCCTGGATCTGCGGGTCGCTATTGCAGACCGTTAGCGACTTCTCGCTAATTGTGATCAATGGCCTCTCAGATCTACAGACTGGTACTTGACTGACTGATTCTTAAGGGTCTCTCCTGATCTTACTGAGGTATGTCTCTAGTGTGCTTGTGTCCATGGGACGATTCTGTGGAATAGTGCAGTGCGCATATTACTCCGGGTTAAAATTGGTAGGTTATAATCATACAGCAAGTTTATTCTGTTAGAATTTTTATAGATCAGTACATTACATTCATTCTACATTCTACTGTGACTTCAGTTGTAAAAATGTAATTGATGCTTCGAACTTGCTGCGGTGTGAATTGCAGCTCTACTCTTCTGCAAGTCCCATTTACACTGCCTGCACCTGATTGGTAAGTGTCGCAGGTCAGGCAGTAAAGGAAATCCGGGCTCAGCAGCAGTTAGGGAGTGAGCCAGTGCACCACTGGAAGGTAATGCGGCGCTGTGGTCTCCCTCAACTGGACAACAAACGGTTCTGTGGGAGACCCCATTCTGTCACACTGTTAGAGCAAAGCCACTGAAAATCTGAATTTTTCAAGCTTAGCAATCGGCTAAACATAGAACAAGATGACATATATATTTTTCTATGACTTTGAATTCATACTCTTCTCAGTAAGGGGTGATGGAAGCACCTTTGGGAACAGACAGGCAACAGAGTCTGCCTCTCACCTCACCTGTAAATGTTTCATTTTATACGGATTGCAATGTGGGTGTTTCGTTGTTAGGGTATATTTCTATATTTGTACACTAGGACTTTTCATCTCCTTTTCCTTTGATGTAAAACACATAGTAGTCTTTCTGTTACACTATCATCACTATAATGAAGTGTGTTAGTCCACTATCATGTTTTATTCATTACCCTCCTTATCTGAATTGAGAGGACTTGGCCGTCTCCTCCCTGGCTCATATGCATGTGGTTTAAATAAGCGGTCATGTACGGCGATGGGGGTCCCAGTCAAGGGAAGTGACCTCCCATACCTGTTAACCTGAGCCCCCCCCCTGTTTGGAGCCCCAATGCAGACACAGGGTTCAGTCCGTTTTCCACAGCTGTGGCATAATCAGCTTCCTGCCTGGGCTTTTAAGGACCTTGAACAAATGTTTGCACTGTGATATGTTTTATTGAGGAGATGTCGGATGCTTACCTGTCGGACTGAGTCGAACCTGTGTTTTTGAGGTCCTGTCTAGCAGCAGCCTGTCAGGCTTGCCTTCCCCAGTGGACACACGGCCCCCAGTGGGGGGGGGGGGGGGCTCATTAACACTAATGAGGCTCCTTCCGTGATGTCACCTGCCCGTTCGGGGGCAGTCACCAGTCCCAGTACCTGTTTATGACAAACACACAACTCCGTCATGGTGGCGTGTCAATAACACCGTTTCTGAATGGTGTAAACAAAGATCACGGATGGGGGACATTAGTCCTTAATTTGAATATTAATATCTTTCCCTAGTTAAAAAAAAAATCAGTCACAATGCTGACATACGCAAAAATCTACGTTATAAATTCCTTGATTTTTGCCTTGAGGTCCAAACTTTCAGCTGTTCTTGATGGGAAGATTGTGTGTGCTGTGACTCCAAAGTCTTACTTAATCAGCACCCCCAGGGGGCGTCGCAGAGCTGATTAAACTGTCAGGCGGTGACACCCATCATATTTAAAATTTAGAGTCTCTGGTTGTCCGGTAACTGGGAAGGATGGCACCCGTGGAGGAGAAGAACAGTGAGGGAAAAGGCACAGAAGAAAAGAAGAAAAAAACCTTTCCAGACAGGAGCCACTTCACACTACCACCAGCTCGCGGTTGCCATAGGAACATATCCATTCTTTTCTCTCTTATTCCCTCCCTTACTTTTTTGGGACTGAAGAGATAAGAGTAGATTTTTTTTTTCTCTATGTCATCTTTCTGTCAGCATGCAGCTGGAAAATTCTATGGTTTTGTTCCACGGTCGCTAACATGGCATGCCTGACGAGCGAAGACCCATCTCCTGCACCTGCACCCCTGTTCCCGGTGGGTCGCTGCTTGGACGGGTTTTCCAGCCATGCTTCCAGTATTGGGAGATTGTGATGTGCTGATTTAAATTTGGGGAAGTGGAGTGAAAATCTTCACGAAGTCCTGACCACGCCGGTCTGAGTCTTGGGAAGCGTGACCTCCTCTCTGTCTCTTTCTGAGGACATCTTGGATAGCACGGCTGCCGTCATGCTGAAGGAGATATCAGTCCAGAGTGTTCCCTGTCTTACCAGAATGTCAGATGGGCTGTGATAGAGGTCACATGGATTTTGTGTGGGTGAGCATGTTTGGTATCACGCTGGTGTTTCCTCACAGCCGTTCCACCACGTTACTGGAGGTCAAAGGTCATTGGGCATGACGTCTGACAGTCACATCCACTCTGCCTGATGTAATGAGGGGGAGTTGAGCTGCTCTTTCCCAGCTTAGTGGCTGACATGATAGCTACAGGCTTTTTACTTTTATGGGGCATTACCCTTTGAACTTTCACCGTTCTCCTACAGAGGGCGCTACTGGAGCAGAAGCAGCGGCGGAAACGACAAGAGCCCCTGATGGTGCAGCCCAACCCAGAGGCCCGACCGCGATCCTCGCGACCGCGTCGCAGCGAGGAGCAGGCCCCCCTGGTCGAGCCGCGTCTCGGCGTCACCAGCGATGTCATCCTGGATGGTGAGAGCAAGAGCTATTTATATAATCGCCCCCACAAGTCTTGGTTAATTTTCGAACATATTGTGATGTGTTGCTGAAGGTGTGTGACAGAGTCCGAGCTCAGAACACTGACTCAGAGAGATGCTCTTTAAATCATGACTGAAGGGGAAGTGCTTCTGCTCCCAGTCTCTTCAGCTGGTATGGGATCGATCGGACTCCATCTAGCTGCTCGACAGCTCCTGTACCATCGGGGTGGCAGGCTGCGGGCAGGTGGCTATGCCAATTCAGGAGCGGGAGGAACTCTGCCAGAGCCTACATGGACTTCCTTGGAGGAGTGGAGTGTGTGGAGATGAACATCTATCCAGCACTGGCTTCATTAATGAGGCCTTTAAGACTTTGGATATGTGCGGCTAGGAAGTTCCTGTACTGGACATCTACATGGTGTTTGGAGCATCCAAAAAGAGATAAAACAGACTAATGGAAATGTTTTTCTCAAGCACTTAAAATGATGATCTTGATCAGAGCGTGTCGCACTGGGCAGGTATCGATGGGCCAGCCACGTTCCTGAGCCCAGAGGCCTCCGACTTGGGTCCCAAGGTCCAGATCCTGTCCGTCGGCCAGCCGCAGACCGTCCAGGAGGAGGAGCCAGAGCACGATGCCGAGCCGGAGCGTGACGGAGACACGGAGCAGCTCCTGGAGCCCAAGACGGACCTCCACCAGCTGCTGCAGAGGCAAGGTGAGAAGTCCGGTACTAGAGACTCCACAACCGGGCCGTGACGCGGGTCTTCTGGCTGGCCTGCAGTGCAGTGCAGTGACATCCTGCCCTCCAGTAATTTTGGCCTTCAGCACTGGGTGATACCACTGCATTCTTGAAAATTCTGAGGCCTGATCCATTGGGGAGGAGCTCTGACATTTCTGGGTGGGGGGGGGGAGCATTGAAGGACAAGGAGTGATTCATATTCTCATTATTATCTGGAATTCTGTGGTTTAGTTTAGCAACATAGTTTTCCAACTCTCTCTTAATGTGCTCTGCAATAACTAGTATTTACTGCATGCAGAATGTAGAACCCTATATGCTGCATTGGGGGACACGTGCTGCAGTAATACATGGGTCACATGACTATGCCTGCAGTCACATGGGACACCCTTTAGATTTCTGACCAGCGAAGCCCCACCTCCACACTTGCTGACTTCACCCAGGAACGGGTGGATGAGTTCAGAAGTCCCACCTGTGATGAGCAAGAGGATCCTCCCCCAGGGGGAAATAGATCCCACTGTCTGCCAGGGAGAAACTGCACTGTATGGGATCGTGTTTATAAACAACGTCAAACTTTAAAAAACACAGTGACAACCCCCTAAACTGAGACCTCAGCCGCTCGGCTCATGGTATATTTCTGGTACGAAGAGGAATGGTGATTCACACTCCGCCAGGACACGGCCTGTCCATTTAAGCAGCGTGTCAGCGGCACCAGCTCTCTCTCTGTCTCCAGGGTCATCACCTGTTCCTTTCTCACTGTCATGTGGGGATAAGAAGGAGTGATGAGTCACAGATTTGGTTTGTGAAGATTTCACTTTGGATTTATTATGGAACATCGACCTTAAGTGCCTCTCCGGTCAAAGAATGTGAGAAGTAGATTATTATCCCATGAAGGCATCATCATGACGGCATGGTTCGTAGCAGAAGTCAGTATTATGCCATCATGGATCGTCAGTAAACATTGCCCACTGGGGTGAAAATCATCTAACATGCACCTACTTAAGGGTCGTGCCACATCTCCCTAACCTTTTGGTATTTTCTCACTTTTTTCCCCCCTCCTCCCGCCCCAAATTGATCAGGTATCTCCGTCAGCATGAACTACGATGAGGCCAGTGATGAAGAAGAGGGAGATGAAGACAACACCCGGTCCCAGTCCCCCAGCACGGAGACCCCCCGGCCTGCCTCAGCCTCCAGTGCAAAGTCCAACACCGTAAGCCCTCCCACTTCACCGTGACCCCGCCTCCCCATGCAAAGCTCATTGACTCACAGCTATAGTACTTATGAGCACAGGTAGGCAACTCTAAGCTTTTCTCCCAGGGGGTGCAAGGTGAGAGAGTCCAACCAGTCATTCATTCAGATAAATTTGTTAAAAAAAAAAAAAATAATAATAATAAATACATTTTAGAATAGGTTGTTATTTCACATTGATATGACTAACATATTTAATGACTGACATTTTGACTCCGCCTTCAACTGCAGGAGTGTGTGGGCCCCGGGTCGCCCACGGCGGAGGCTCTGACCATCGAGGTTGACAACCTGGAGGACTTTGTGCTGCGGCCGGCGCCCCGCGGCGTCACGGTCAAGTGCCGCATCACACGCGACAAGAAGGGCATGGACCGCGGCCTGTACCCCACGTACTTTATGCACATGGAGAAGGAGGACGGAAGGAGGGTAAAGGCTGGGGGGCGGGGCTTCCTTTCTGATGGAGTCAGAGTGACCAGCAGGTGGCGCAGTAGTTTAGGAAGTGGATCTATGTCTAGATGGTAGTTTTAAAGTAAAAATGTTTTTATTTAACTGAAAAATGTTATTATTATTATTAAGTATAGCTGTGATTTAATGATAAAAAATAAAAATGTATGTCCTCTTTCTATACTGACAGGCAGAATGTATTCAGAATGCCTGTATCATCTCGTATTTATTGTCTCTCTCCTTCAGATTTTCCTTCTGGCAGGCAGGAAGAGGAAGAAGAGCAAGACGTCCAACTACCTGATCTCGGTGGACGCTACGGACCTGTCCCGAGAAGGCGAGAGCTTTGTCGGGAAGCTGAGGTAGACGGGCAACACCTTTTTCCTGGGTCCGTCAGGGTGGGGCGCATTCAGAGTCCGCTGCTTGACGCAAAACTGTCTGTTTGCCCCCCATCATTACTCCCCAGGTCCAACCTGATGGGGACCAAGTTCACGGTGTACGACAACGGCACCAACCCAGCCAAGATGCCCGGAGCTTTACTGGAAGAGAGCAACACGCGGCAGGAGCTGGCAGCCATCTGCTACGTGAGTGCAGCAGAGCTACGTTCGGTCATAAAGGCAGCAAGGGGCGACTGCAGTGTTTCCCAGCCTGGTCCTCAGGGTCCCCCGGTCCACATTTTTGCTCTCTCCCAGCTCCCAGCCAATCAACAACACTGAATTCCTGGTACAGGTGTGTTGGGAAGTAGGAGGGAGCAGAAATGTGGGCTGTCGGGGGGTCTGCCGGGACTGGGTGGAGAGACACTGGAAAAGGGTAGAAGGCCAAAAGATTGTGGCTTCAAGGGGAACTGCTCTTGGATCTTTGAGATGATGCTTACCCTTAGAGAATATGCAGGGTACAGACGCTAACCTATGCAATATGGCTGACAAAGCCCCACAGGCATATATGCAGCTTAAATCTAATGACTTGGTGGTTCTCTCATGGTTGTCAGAGGAGATTTATGTGTACTCTGCAGATGTCATGGGGTATTGCTGAAATGAAGTTAAGTGTCATCTATAGGCGTCACCTTATCTCAGCAGTTTGGGATCTGTGGAGTAGCCTGATGGGGTCTTGGTCTTTTCAGGAGACCAATGTGCTGGGCTTCAAGGGACCCCGGAAGATGACCGTCATCATCCCAGGCATGAACATGAGCTTCGAGAGGGTGCCAGTGCGACCGGCCAGCGTAAGTGCCCCAGTCCGTCTGTGGAGGAGTTCTGCTGCTTTTCTGGTTTGCTGGTTTTCATTCTTTTTAGTCACCTAGAGTTCTGATGGATCGGTCGCAAATTTAAAGGCTACCTGAAGTCCTCCTTGTGAGCTTAGCTGTGCGGTATTCGATCATCTGCTGAGTAAATAATGCATGAGGTCTGTATCTGCAGGAACAGGAAAGCTTGCTGGCCAAGTGGCAGAACCACTCACTGGATAGCCTGATCGAGCTGCACAACAAGGCGCCCGTCTGGAATGACGACACGCAGTCCTACGTGCTCAACTTCCACGGCCGTGTCACTCAGGCCTCGGTCAAGAACTTCCAGATCGTCCATGACAACGATCGTAAGCGTCCCCCCCCCCGCCCCCCATGGCAACCAGTGGTCCAGACTAACATACTGTCGATAACCAATTAACAGCTTGGACATGCATACATACATTTATTTAACCCTAAGCAACATACCAAGACCAGAAAAGCAGTTAACCAGTGCCTGGAGCAATGGGGATTAGAAGTAGTGACCACCTGATCACCAGTACAACATTCTAACCTCTTGAGCCACATACTCACTCATGTTCTGCAAATGGTTCAGATTTGAGTAGGTATACATTTTTTTATTTTTTCATTAAGATCTCAAGATTGAGGATACAGATGTGTTTTTTACATTAAGGCCAGTGTGTACATGTGCAGTGTTGTGGAGTAGAGCTGTATTTTAATGTTCTTGAAGCTTTTTTGAAACGCCCGTTTCCCCCTCTCCCTTTATAACAGCGGATTACATCGTAATGCAGTTCGGCCGAGTGGCAGAGGACATTTTCACGTTGGACTACAACTACCCCATGTGTGCACTGCAGGCCTTCGCCATCAGCCTATCCAGCTTCGACAGCAAACTAGCCTGCGAATGACAGGCCCCCCCTCGCTCTGGGCCTTGGGGTCCCCCACTCTCTCTCAGATCACCAAACCCCCCCCCCCCGATACGTTTCCCCCTAAGAACCAGCCCTCTTCAAAAGGCGACGTGGTCTGCCATCCACTGATCATCTTCTAGCACCTCTGCTGCAGCTGTTAAAGTGGCTTCCTGGCAATCATGACCCCTGCTGGCCATGCAGCTGAACAGCGGCAATGCGATCTAATGGCTGGAGAACAGGCAGAGGGTGCCATTGTCATGACAAGATTTGGAATCGTGTTAAAAAAGAAGTATAAAATGTATTTTTTAAATTTGTAATTATTATATTTCAGTGTTTGTCTTTGTGATTTTGGATTATGTTTTTATTCTGTGTTTTGTTTCTTGACTGCCACCTTGTGGGTGGAAAGGGAACTGTTATTTACAGGCTATATACTCTAACCATGACTCGGGGAACAACTTAGCCTGTCCACTGCATGAGATTTAAAAAAAATATCTTAATTTCGTTTTGTCTTTTTACATTAATGTTGTCAAATTTTAGTCAATTTTACCTTTACTTTTTAAATTGTTCTTTTAATTCATGTGAGTGTGTACATTATTTTGGATAAGGTCTAAAGAATGTGGCAGTGTTTGCTTTCCAGAACAGCTGTCGCACTGTCTTCTGATCTTCAAAGCTTTATTTAAGCACAATACCAAATACCGAATTTGGATTAAAGTGCATCACAGGAATACCGAATTTGGATTAAAGTGCATAACAGGGTGCCCTTTAACTCCAGAGTGCTTTAGCATTAACCTCTTTACTTGGCACTCACTTGATTTAACAGCATTCAGAATAAAAGCGTATATCTTTCGCCATAAAAGCCCTTTATTCGGTTACATAGCTATCCAGTGAGCTTTTTGCATTGTTTTCCTGTGGTGAAGCAAAGGATATTTGGTGTTTCGATTTCAATTCTGACTGATTCCTGACATAACCTTTTTGTCTGATTTGTAAGTGCAATATGCGGAACTGGAAGGACAACTTCTGGCCTGATACGGAGATCCAGTGGGATGCATGCCATTTCTAACTGGTTTGTAAAAGGGTACATTTGTACAGTGCAGGGTTTTGAAGAACACTTTTTTTGTAATGCGACATTTCATCTGTAAAGGCGCTTTGATTTTTTTCCGTGAACGTGTGTCATGGTGTTATTCATCTCACCGACACCCCCTTCCCCCACCTCCCTTTGCAGTACACCTGGATGCTGAAATGGCAGGTCGCAGCATTATCCAAAATAAGGAAATCAATTCTCAACAACTTTATTTATTCTGGCTGGACTTCTATCACGTTCATGGGCATGAGTTCAGTGTCAGGGTTTTATGGACTGCAAGCAAACACCTTAACGTAACGATCGTATAACACCGATGACCAGGAACTACCGGGTCATCCTGTTTTTGGTGATCCTAAAGGTGTAACGACTTGAGAAATGTATCAGCCTTCACCAACAACCCTGTACTAGATAAGGGATGGATGAACGGATGGACTGATATCTCCATACGAGCGGTTTGGCAATACTGGTTAACACTGTCTATATCTGTCAGAGCCAGCTTGTTTTATTTGCATATTCTCTGCATAAATACCCTTCTCGATTTTTATTTTTTATTCCACCGGTGCTCTTGGGCTGTATAAAACCACAATGATTTTATTTAGAAAGGGGGTGACTATTCAGAAACCTGATTCCTCTTGATTTCACTACTTGGATGGGTGCAGTACAGCTGACAGTCACTCTCTTCCATATGCAAATACAGCGAGGCGTCAGCTGCATCCCCTCCACTCAGGCGACATACAGACATAAACATACTGAGGCCTGAATGTAATACGCCCACCTGAAATGGCAGGAGCCAGATCCACAGGCAGCCGTTACCCTGCCCAGTGGAAACAGGTCGGGGGCTATAAGAGAACGGCTGGTCCGGTGACGTTTCAGCTTGATAAATAATATCAAAGCTAAAAAGAAGTGGTGAACTGCACAGGGTCCTAACTTCACACACGTGTCCACAATGCAACGTTTATTTCAAACATTTCTGCTCACTGAAAAATGAAAACGGCATAACTGATTTGTGACTCATGGCACGCCACATAATTTAAAGAAAATTATGCATTTTAAGCTTTTGTAAAATGGGAACCTACTGCAACAGCATTTACAATGACAACAAGGAACAGTGCAAAAACCAAGTCAGTTAATTTTGTAACAGCTTCTCATTTGTCAGTGACATACAGTTCTGAGAAATACATTGTGGGCACTGAAAACAACCATTAACACTATTGATGGCTGCTACTATACTTCTGAGGTTTGGCCCATTAAGGTAATGAGGCCAGTGTTCCTTTATAGCAATGCTTTCCTTTTTTCCCAGTATAATTTATAACCCATATCCTCCTTTGCTTGTACTACCCACTGGAATACTACTAAATAGCAAAAACTAAAGTAGTAAAATTGTAATATCACAAATGGCCTATAGGTGGCACCAGAGAACACAGTCTTTGCCAAGGCTTAGAGGTCCACTCAGCCCATTACAAGTCAATTACTCTGCAGGAATGCTACTACATTTGTCTTTGAATCAGCTTGTTGCAGACATAATTTGTTCTGTTCACCCAGTGCCATGGCTGATTTACTCTTTTATGGAATGTTGAGTCTCACTTGTAAACGTCGACAACCTCAGACAGTGCCCTGTACTTTATGAGGTAGTAAGGGTAGCACTGGCCGCTGTCAAATACCACAAAGATGGAGGGATTGTCCAAATGGTTGACACACGTGTTATACGACTCATACTTGCTCATACTGGTTTTCAGTTGGGGGGGGCGGTAGTATTTCCGTTTTCCCAGGCTCATGTTGCCCACTAGAACCTTGGCGAGGAACATGTGCTGTAAACCCACAGGAGAGGGCGCCCTTGCATAGTCATTAGAGTAACTGGCATCCCGGGCAAAGTAGCTCCCGTGACCGTACACCACTCCGTTTTTCCCAGAGACGCGTGGGTCAAAGTTGTTCCAGCAGATGTCTTTGGCAGCATCCTCGGTGGTGCCATGGAAGAGGTGCATCTCCAGCGTTCCTCCTTGGTCCAGCCTGCGGTCGTGCATGTGCTGCTTCTGCCTGGATGGAGGGCAGCATTAGTAGTAACTTGTAACATTTTTAACATTTAGTTTTGGGCTGCTAGTGGTCCCAAGCCGATCACAATGCAGGTCTTCTTATGACATGTAGCCCAAGACAATCCTCCATCCATCCATCCATCCATCCATTTTCTATAACCACTTCTATAAATATTCAGGGTCGTGGGGAATCTGGAGCCTATCCAAGAGGCTACAGGTGCAAGGCAGGGAACAACCCAGGATGGAGCACCAACCCATCGCAGGGCACACTCACACACCAGTCACTCACACACCATTCACTCATCCAGGCACACCTACGGGCAATTTGGTGACTCCTATCAGCCTCAGCATGTTTGTGGACTGTGGGGGGAAAACCAGAGCACCCAGAGGAAACCCCACAACAACACAGGGAGAACATGCAAACTCCACACACATGGAATCCTGCAGGAGATTTGAACCCAGGTCCAAAAGGTGTGTGGCAACAGTCCCCCAAGACAATCCTCATTTGGATGTCTTTTCAGAGCAGATACTTTCATCTAAACTAACATATTAGCTGATGTTTTCCCCTCTATTCTTTCAGACAACAACTTAGCCAAATGGGATTAAGTGAGACTTCAACTCACCTGCGATATTTGTCCCACTGAAAGACATTCTGGACTTGTTCTATGCTGACGATCTCCATTTTAGTCTCGGACATAGTTCTGTGAAACAGCCTATGGACTTGGTGATAGGCCTCTGTCCCAAACGGTACCTCTACCAGGTTGACATCCTGGTCATGGGTTGGAGTCCATACAGGTGGGTACCAGCTGGTGAATATTTCCAGAGGGTCCACGCTAAAGCTGGGGTAGTTCTGACAACTGGAATCTGGGGCCTCACTCAGGATGACAGTTCTGAAGATAATTTGAAGAGCATGTGAGGCACCTAAGAAGGCTGATTAGTACAATGTTCTCAATAGGATCTGAGCAGAACAGACATCTCAAGACATAATTTGTTCTCTACTGGTCATCCATTAGTCAGACCAAAAGTGAGAACACGAAATGAAGGTAAAACCAATACCTGAGGTTTGATTTGATGGACAAGGGAGAACGGAAAGTAGGGCGGCATCGTACTCTGCGTATAAAATTGGTGGTGAGGTTCTCCTGGGTAAGGTATTTTAAATCCACCTCGTACTGCTGCTTCCCAATAATGAACCTGCAACAGGACTCTCCTGCTCTCATTCTGGTCACCAGCTCTTTTGTTATGTCCTGTAAATCACACGGCAACAGTCAAAAATGATTCCACCATTAACTTCCACATTGGCACAAACAAGAACAGAAGTTCAGATGAGAAGGAGTCAGTCCTTTGGGGGATTACTTAAAAAGGAAGTAGTATTAATGAGAATCTGAAGTTGGATGTCACAAACAGACGGCTACGTAAAGAGCTTACTTTCTTGTAACATTCCCAGCGGCAGTTATCCCACCAGTACATGTTCCACTCTGTGGGAAAGTGTGGATTCTTCAATGGGTCGCTGGTGTTGGAGAGCCTTCTGGCTAAATCATATTTATCTGAATCTTCTATTTGCATTGTGTCAAAATTCAGGGTGAACTCTTCTGTCCTGCAAAGTCAACAAAACTCGATATGTACGATGAACAGGAACAGTACTGGGTTCTATCACTGAGGCTTGGACTAATCTCCACCACTTATTTACACACTACATCTGACTGGATTTTTACTAGATTTTTTTTCTGTTGTAATTCAGGTGAGAACCAATGAGCCTTTCCATGACCTGAAAAGGTCCCATGTCCTTAAATGGCCCCTAAAACAGCTACAGCTAAAACACAATGTATTCTGGCAACTGGAAAATGCATGAGTCCAGCATGAAAAATTTAGTGCAATGAAGCATTTGTAAGGTAGGTCTCATATTTTGTATAGTAACAGGGAGCAGATTATGGTTGATACACAGACAACGGGGACCTGTTTTTTAATGACTGAATTATAAATTCACACAGAAGCTATTTCCTTGCTAATTCCCGCATACCCTAATTTTTGGTGTTTGTGAATTAGCAAGGAAATAGCTTCTGTGTGAATTTATAATTCAGTCATTAAAAAACAGGTCCCCGTTGTCTGTGTATCAACCATAATCTGCTCCCTGTATTCTGAGACTAGGAACATCACCTGAGTTACTATACAAAATATGAGACCTACCTTACAAATGCTTCATTGCACTAAATTTTTCATGCTGGACTCATGCATTTTCCAGACTAATTCTGTAAATCCTAAGTCTTACTCCTATTCATTTTTCACAGAATGTTGCTAAACTATGTGCTAATTTCCTAAATTCTAGAAAACTGATTTACTGTATTATTCATAAAAAAAAAATTAAGAAACTACGTTGCAGCCACTGAAAGCTCAGCCAAGCTGCACCTATAATTATTTAACTTAACTCCTGATTGTTGATAGTGTACTCTGTACGTGGCTTTGGACAGAAGCATTTGTGAAATAAATCAGTGAAATAAATCAAATGTACCTCGATGATGATGCTTACTGTTCATTGTAATATACAGAGTAATTGCACTATTCCTTCACTCCATCCCATTACTCTAAAATCATTTCTATTGACTGGGGTTGCTTGGGTACCTTATTCCCCTTATCCATTCATCTATCCATCCATCTTCTTTACTAACAAACATAGGGCCCTGGCCTTCAGCCCAGGTTAGAGGACCTGAACCCAGTTACGTTCCCCTTATTAGTCTTTAAATTCTAAAATCTTTTTCTAACGGAGCCACGACCCCCTTCCCCACGTTTGAATGCTTGGTTTAGGTAAACACGCCGTACTCACTCCTCCCTCAGCTTGACGCTCTCCCTCTCCTTGTTGGAGTACAGTCGCTCCAGACTGAGCTGGGCCGAGTGCGAGGTGCTGATCCACTGGTGGGTGTCCTGGCGCCGGATCTGCCAGTGGAAGGGGTAAGGGGTGTGGTGCAGCGGGCACTCGGACCGGCGCGGACAGTAGCCTAAGAGGAAGTTGTCGCAGATGTCTATGTTTTCCCGGGGGCGGGTGTGGAAGTAGGCCTGCTGGACCCATTCCGTCCTGGGCAGGGGTTGAGATAGGCAGGAGGCTGGGTCTACGCGATCGACAGAGGGTATGGGGGGGCGGAGGGGCTGTAGGTGGCTTCCATCCAAAGAACGAAACAGAGTGACAGTCTGAGCTGGTAACATGGCCACAGTCTGAAACTGGGGAGGCACCACAGACTGGGTCTGAGGTTCGGCTGACACTGGCGGCAGGGTGAAGAGCTTTGGCACCTGATGGACCGGCACCAGTTGGTCTGTAGCTGAAGTTTTGGAGAGAGTCTGGGATCCAGCCTGAGGATAAAGAGGGGTGATGCGGATGTTGATGTTGTAGGGTGCCTCGCTCCATTCCACCTCCACCTGACCCGTGTGGATTAACTGCCACACGGGCAGGCTGGTGTTGGTCTGTGCCGGAATCTGCAGCACCAGTTGGCTGGTGCTGAAGACGGTGATCACCATGGGCTTGGCCAGCCCTTCTTGGTTGGTGCACTGAGTCTCCACCTTTCTCTTTTTCAAGGGCACCTCGCCAGCCATTGTTTTGGTTTAAAGAGAGTTGGGGGGGGGGGAGACTGCGGAGAATCAGAGAGTAACCTTACCAGCTTTTATTTTTTACATTTACAGTCACCTCAAAATATGTCAGATGAACGTGTACATATATGACATATACAAATAAATTATATAAGTGTGTATAATAAATATACATGCACATACAACAGCTTCGATCTATCGATTTAAACGGCTAAATGTAATATTTGCATTGCAAGCCTGAGCATGAGTCATTGGGGATTTTTTAAAACTCATCACATAAGAATTCCCCTGTCCGCTACTTATTCTGAATTATTTTTAAAAAAACTAACACCAACTTTCAAACGTTATACAGAGCAACTAAATAAGATCGAGAAGCCACGAACCAAAAAACATAACATGCAGTTTTACTGTTTACTTAAGTTAGTTTGAAGTAATTGCTAAAATGTATAGCTACCTGTTTTAGCCCTTCTGCTTGTGCATTGAGAAGAAAAACAACACTTTCGCCGGCGACAGCAGCATCAACAGCTCCAATTCCGACAGCGTCATTAATTTTAGTTCTGTTAATAAAGCAAAAATGTATCAGAAATAAAACGATCCTTAGGATTATCCCGTTAAACTGTTTCTGCTGTTCTTATGCTACGATTGTCGTTGGCAGCATACGTCTTCCGCTTTTGCTTTCAGTTTTACCATTAAGGTACGTACTGTATCTTTGTTGTGTTAGAAAGTAGTTATAACAAACTGTATGTAGTTATACTCCGATTATGATGTGTCATCATCACTCGCTCTGCAAGCGACGGGAAATCCGGTTGTGTTACGTGGATGTTCCTACATTTTATTTTACTGATGAGATATTGTTTACGTCTATACGAAAGCACGGAACAACCACCTCGACCTTCGACTAATGACAATGTGCGTTCTGGTACATGCTGTTCTGGGGTAAATGCGAATTTTATAATACATAAAGCTCTGCTGTGCGTTTTTACCATTCAAAAAGGAAGAACTACAATTATCATTGCAGCCAAGTGTCAAAGTTCAGACGCGGGATTTCGAAGTTATACTTTCGCCTTCATTATTTAGGATTACACTTAATAGTCAGAAACGCTCGCATTCATTCCATAATTTACATTAATAATTACCAACTAAGTCTTGCCGGGTTTTCACGCTGTTTCGTTTTCCCTGTCGTTGCCTGTCCCGCAGCTTGTGGTGTAATATTTGATCTCTTGCCAAGTTGCCATCTGTTTTGCTTTATTATGTTTCACACGTGACTCTGGGAAATACAGGTATAAATCCAGCTACCTGTTGACGCCAATGAATGTGACGTTCATTTCTTTTAAATCACATGACCAAAATTATTTTTTCTGTGTGTGATGCCACAACTATCATTTATTTACACAGATTTACATATTTTATGTAATTTTACAACTTTTAATATATTTTTTCCAAGATGAGGTGTTGAAATTTCTAACAATCCGTTTGCATCCTGTTCAGATGGTATTATACTGTCAAAACTAAACTGGTATTTTCACTCTATGTGTGACACTTTAAAATCAGAATCATATATTTAAATGATTGCAATAAAAGCTGTTTTTGTTACATATTGGTTTGTTAATTCTGATAGACACATACAGTATAAATTTAAAAATGAAAATAACAGCAGAGAGAATGTCATTCATTTTCATGTTTAAAGGAACGATGTGCAATGGAGGTTCAAAACCAGCTTCTTGCACTGGACACTTGTGCTTGTGTTATGGACACTGGGACAGGCAGTAATCGTAGAGGATGTTCCTTACAGCCCACCCACAGGTAGGGGAACACTTCCCCAGTAAGCGTGTGCTTGAACGTGTAGATGGGCGTGTTGTCGCTGGGGTCTGAGAAGACGACCCGTCCCCTGTCGCAGTTCAGCTGCACTCGAACCACGCAGGGTTTCTTTGTTAGGACGAGTTGCGTGGGGGGTGAGGTTCCCGCAAAGTGCATGTTCTTGTAGTAGTACACAATCAGGTACCCGTTCTTTATTGATGGAGGACTGCTTCTCCTTCCTGCTGGCCGACTCCTTGGCCACACCCACAACCCACGTCGAGCTGTCCCCAACATCAACGTCCCACCAGTGCTCGCCGGAGCGGAAGCTGCATGCTCCCAGGACGGCTTCGTCCAGGCTGAATCGCTCCGGATTGTTGGGGAGCCGTTGCCTTTCATTCCCCTTATACACGCTGGTCAGGTCTTCGGATAGCACGAGCCACGGTGCTGCACTGTTGGGGTCAAGGATCACCGGGTCTGAACAGAGACAGAGAGCAGCTACATGTCGTTTACTCCAGACGCATGCAAAATGCTACCTGTGAGTGACTGTAGCACGTTTATTCCATTCCATTATAGTGCATTCCAATCCAGTCTACTGTATTCCAATCCAATCTAATCCACTAAATTCCACCCCAGTCCATGTGTTCAAATACACCATAGCATGTGATATATCCAGATGTACATACAGGCCTATTCGTGCCTGTAAATTGCAAAACGTCATCTGACTCTCAGATTTGCCATGAGCCTTAACCTGACCTCTAACACTTGTAAGCCATCTGTAGTGTTCTTTGTTAGGCGAATCTCTAGGTCAGATGACCTAGAACAATGCAGCCTTATTCTCCATACCCAGCCAATTCCCCCTATCTGAAGCTGGACCCCCAGCACTCACGGTACTGCACAGTCCCCAGCATCTTCTTCCAAACTCGGTACTTCAGGGAGTCCAGGTGGGAGGCCACGTTGACAAGTGCTCCGGATAACACCACTGGTTCTTGGGTTGTGCACTGTGCACTGCGTTCATAAAGAGTGGATCAGGTCTGGTAAAAGCTCAGATCCAGCACTTACAGTGCATAGGAAAATAACAGTAAGGCAAGGAGTTTGTGTACCTTTTCTCTGTTGTCTTGTAATTCTGAGAGACAAGGAATATTGTAGGTTAGGAAATCTGTATAGCTTACACTCATCAACAGGGAACATGAAAAGGACTGAAATACTATTACAAGGGTGCTGGTGGCATCCATCCATCCAACCATCCATCCATCTATTTTCCATATCCAGTTGTCCTGCGCAGCATCAGAGCCTAGAAGCTATGGCCGCAAGGCAGGGAATAACTCAGGACGGTGTGCCAACCTATTGTAAAGCACAGATGCCAGTCCTATTCAAATCAACAACAACAATAATAATTCTACAGCACGGTGGTGCTGTGGGTGTGGCCAAGGAGTCGGCCAGCAGGAAGGAGAAGCAGTCCTCCATCATCAAGAACGGGTACCTGACTGTGTACTACTACAAGAACATGCACCTTGCGGGGACCTCACCCCCCACGCGACTCGTCCTAACAAAGAAACCCTGCGTGGTTCGAGTGCAGCTGAACTGCGACAGGGGACGGGTCGTCTTCTCAGACCCCAGCGACAACACGCCCATCTACACGTTCAAGCACACGCTTACTAGCACTATCACCTCACTCCTCTGGGACCTGGGTTCGAGTTTCTGCCATGGCTTCATGTGTGTGGAGTTTGCGTGTTCTCCCTGTGTCATCATGGGGTTTCCTCTGGGTACTGCGTTTCCCCCCCACAGTCTAAAAACATGCTGAGGCTTATTGGAGTTACCAAATTGCCGGTAGGTGTGCCTATGTGAGTGACTGGTGTGTGCGTGACTGGTGTGTGAGTGACTGGTGTGTGAGTGTGCCCTGCAATGGGTTGGTGCCCGGTCTTGGGTTGTTCCCTGCCTTCCGCCCGTAGCCTCTGGGATAGGCTCTGGACCCCCTGCAACCCTGAATAGGATAAGTGAGTACAGATAATGGATGGAGATATAATAATAATACTAATAAGGTATTCACCTGTAGAATAGTCAGATCATCCGCTCTTAGCTCTTCCTCTATGACAGCGATGGAGTGGGAGAGGGATGACATGCTTCTTGTCATCTCCTTGATCTGGTTATTGAAGTTCAGCGCCTTCGCCTTGCCCTCCTTCTTCAGGGCGGCCATCCTCGTCGCCTCCTCGGCTTGCAGGAAAGCATGGAGCTTCTCAAATTCCGCTCTGATCAGTGTTTCCGTGTGCAGGACCTGGTTCTGAAACAGGACAAGGAGCATCAGGCTCTTCCTGGGACACCAACGATGGGTATCCCTTTTTTTTTTAACAATATATTTATTACTTTTTTAGTTTGCATATCACAATAAATTGCACAGATACAGATGGGTATCCCTTTTAGAGTGGTGAGGTAGCTGGATGATGAAGGTCCGATTTTCTCTGGCCCATAATAAGAGAGGCTGAGTATGGGTCATTAGAGGTACAGGTTAAAAATTTAGTGGGCAGAAGCTTAATAATGTATTTGCCTTGAAGATTATGGCAAGGTGAGAGTAACTAAGGTTGGGGCTTTTAATGTCTTTAATGGGTTATTTTCCTGTGAATCTATGTGTCTGGTCTTTGCAAATTCACTGTTACCATTATGTGTACTACTTCTTCTTCAAAGGTCTGTTTCACTTTCTCGGAAGCCTCCCTCTTTCCTCGCAAGGCCCCGAGGGCTGCCCGAAGCACCTCCTGAACAGAAACAGCACAATCGGATGATTGGGATTGCTATGTCTAGCCCACATAGTACAGACAGCAAGTCTGTACTAGTTACACCATACTCATTTTGGCACGACTGAGAAATAACGAAATACACATTAGGCCAACAGTAAAATCTTTCACTGTATTCAAGGAAACAATACACATTTGGGGGAAGTGAATTTATATTTTTGGCATGCCGAGAATTGATAAGAAATTGTTCTGCTGATCAAGTTGTTGGATTAATATTTGTTTTACCCTCATAGTGCCTATAACAGATTTTCCCCAAGTGACGGAAGATCCATTGTCGTCATCCGAGGTAAAGACCAAAGACGCTGCCTTGACGGATGAGCAGGTTTGTGTTGTTCCCGCTGTGCCTAAGCACATGAGTTCTACAGAGTCTCACCTTGCATTCCAGGACAGCTTCTCCTATGGGGCTACACCCGTGGGTCTTGTGTGCCTTTGAACTTTGACACACCACGCAGATTGGTACTTTGTCCTCCAGGCAGAAGAGCTTGAAGGGCTCCTCATGTAGGGGACACTGCGGGTCCCTTCCAAAGCCACCCTGGCTGCTGTCCTGTCCTTCACCTTTCTGCAGGTAGCTGTCGCAGAGGTTCCTCAAGGCCAGGTTGAGCACTGGCTCCTCCGTCAGGGGTGCCACGTGACGGCAGAGAGGGCACTGCCGCGCACTGGGGACACACTGCCCCCAGTAGCGCCCCAGGCAGGCCCTGCAGAAACTGTGGCAGCACCTCAGCACCACAGGCTCCCTGAAGATGTCGCAGCATATGGAGCAACTCAGCTCGCTCTCCAGCAGAGTGAACGGGGTGGCCATTCCTCTCCGTGGCCGACGTCTCTGTCAGGGATCAAAGGTCCTTCAAAACCCGTTTGCAAAATTTGGCTTCAGCCCCGGGTTTCTGTTTTTCTTTTCTTGTCTGTTTGCACTAATTTGCCAAAGGAAATTACAGAAAAACACCAAAAACTACAGTACAGGAGATACCAGTGAACGAACGCTGAGCTCTCGTTGTTTTCCTGCTTCTTGTTAGAATGGGTGGGACTCTGAAAGGCCTGCTTAACCCTTTACAGACACACCCACAAATGCAAATGTTTGAAATTTACTTTAGGGAACAGGCAGATAACACTGCAACTTTAAAATGACACTCCCTAGTTGCAAAAGGGCCTGGTTGGGACACAAGTCCTTTTTCAAGTAAATCCCACCCCTTCCCCCAACCTCCCCTGGGACCAATAAGTTATACCATACCATACAAAGTAGTGACGTTACATAATAATACCTAACTGTGATGTCATTCGTGATTAACCATTTCCTTACTGCAAAAGTGCACCTGTGTTAATGCAACACATGAATTACAGGTGTTATGACATGGCTACAGGAACGATGTCTGATGTATATGCATTCATCAGTTCAACACACGATAATTCAGTTTGCACATTTCAGTTATTTAATCTATTGTATACTTTAATGCAATATAAGTCATTTGAAAGTACTAACCTTTTAACTATAGTACTGTTCAAAAGTCTTAGGCAGTCAAAGAAAATGTTTTAAGCTATTTTTCTTGTTGGTATGTGTAAATTTGCTCATTACAATATATTCAAATGAAAAATAAGTCAAAAATAAGAATTTTGCCTGCTCTTTAAAAAATGACTGACATCTTGCTGGGTGGCTACAGGGACTCCGCTTTGGTTCCCTAACCTCTCCTCAGAGGCACCCCAGTCTTTCCACATATTCATTATATGGCACCACTGGCTCTCAATTAATTAACTTAATTAGTTAAATGACTGTTTGGTTAGCCTAGCAAGGTGGGTTAGTTGGGTACATTGGACGACCGCTGGGGTGATTTTAGGAGCGGTTTTGTAAACTTTGACAGGCATCATATCCTATCAACGTGAAGATGATTTTCTTTGACTGCCTATGACTATTGCACAGTACTATACAACGGAAGTCGGTGTCTTCAAAAGGAAAATGAGGTTTTAGAGTAACCTTTTAATAAGCATTATAAATGATTATTATGCTTCATGAATCTCTCTTATGGTCATGGTGGTGGGGGCCGGAGTCAATCCCATAAGAAGGTGCACTGAATGGGATGCCAGGCCATCACATGACCTACACATACACACACGTGTGCCTGCACACACACACATACACACCTTGTCACAGATTTTTAAAAATAAAATTGGTCCCCACAAGGTAAAAAAAAAAAAACATTAGATTTTTAGATTTTTATTACATTATGACATTTGGTTCCCACATTGTAATACAGTATATACAGCTTTCGAACCCTCAGCAGTGCTGTGCACTGGGCCACTGTGCTGCCCTTCTTTTGCTGGATATTCACAAGACATTTCATATTTTTTAATTATACATGACTTATTTCAAATGGCGTATTACTAATTCATTACCTTTGTGTTTACCTTGTAGAAAGAAAACTGATTAGCTGATAAACTATTTATAGCAGGGTTCTTCAAATCTGGACCTCAATTCCAAATCCTGGCCTCGTTTTCAGTTCTCCCAGGTAGTTTAAAAATTACTGATTCTGATTGGTCAGAGGCTTCACACCTGACTGACAGGTAAAGGAAGGCTGGAAAACCAGCAGTGCTCAGACCTCGAGTACCGTGATTTGAATAACCCTGATTTATAGCATTGGATTTCTTGAAACTGAAATTGTCACACCATAACCACAGCGCGTTTAACGTCTCTAAGGTGCTTAATTACAATGAGTTCAATGCACCTTCCAACACCTTTTCCTGGATACCTAGAAGTAGTGTATGCGTTGGATGGGACACTGGTCCATCACATGGTACATACGTTCTGTAGGGAATTTAGAGACACGAAATAACCTAAAAACACGTTTATGGTCTGTGGGAGAAGAACATGCAAAAAGCAGATGCGAGATTCTAACATAAAGCCTGAAATTATAAGGCATTTATAGGCGGGATAGTGTTTCCATCTAGCGGCACTTATTTGTCAACATGTTTTAGCGATCATTCTCTGCATCAAAGCAACCATAGCAGCAAATTTGTCTTCGTCGTTTTTTCCCCCGTCCGTTTTCGTGATCTGCTGCTTTATTGATAAGTGTAGGCAACTATAATTCCAGCTCTTGTGTCATTTATAATCACATACGGATTTTGTAATTAGGTTTACCGTATTTGTGGTAACGTCACTCGGGAGGAAATGAATCAGTCCCCAGACAGCATTTATCTCTGTGCTGGATCCGTTTTCGAATCACCAGATTCGCGTAGCAGTCACACTCACTATGCACCTCTGCGCCAGCTTTGCAGCATATTTGTCCACAAGCTCTGACTGACAGTCCGTCAGAAAGGTCCGTATCTGATCCGGAGCAGCAGCGCAGACCGGACCCGCGCTTTTTTAAATCTCGCAGATGCGCGTGTACGTGCCTCAGTAAGAGTTAAATGAAGAGTCACACAACAACCAGTGAAGACCTGCTTGTGGTTCTTGGTAAGTGCATTATAAAACTATATTAAGATTTGACATCAGATTGACATATAGCTGATAGTTCCATCCGTGCGATTAAAAAACATAACTAATGCGAAAGTAGTCTTAAAGTAAGAATTGGCGATTGTGGTGAAAGCCTGTTATCAAAATTGGTGAATATCTCCGTTCGCGTGGATGTTATGTGCAATGAGATGCGGCCAATATTTTTGTACGTCTTCGTAAAATTCTAATTTTGGGTTCAGTGTCACAAACTTGGCAGTAAATATTATCTAAGCTCATTTCCAGCCTGTTTGTGTCTTCCAGTTCATTCATCTGTGGCCTGTACTACGAAGCGGGGTTACTGGCTTATCGGGGTAACTTGTCAGATTTAAGGTACCACAGTTTAAATGGACTTCATATTCGCCCACTTACATTTTGCCCAGACTACCTTAAATCCAACAAGTTACCCCGATAAGCCAGTAACCCCGCTTCGTACGTAGTACAGGCCACGGGTTAGCATGCAACGTTACATAAAGTTGCTTAAACTTAGCAGACCCAGTTGATGAGACCCTGTTTACACGGTTTTTGGATAAATCAGCAAACTTCGTTTAGTTGAATGTTTGCATAACGTTTATTGCTAGTGTTAGCATAAAATCTTTTTCAGATTTAATTTTGATAGTCTTTAAACAAATATGTTTATTTAGATTTGAAGTGTATTTTATCTATGAGGTGAAACATTAAGTGTATTTTTCCCCCTTTTAGTAGTTAAATGTCTCCTATTTCTTTGAACTGTGCTCCATAGGTTTTGTTCTATTCCCTCTGCTTATGCTAGTCAAGTTGAGGTCAAGCCGCCCATCATCTCTTGCAGGTAACCAACTATATTACATACATAGTTACATTTTGAGACACAGAATGCACCTGTACCCTGATTTTGAAACTTGTTGCTTGAGCTTTATTTCCACCTGATGCCCTGTCGAATAACGCATTAAGATTTAGAAATGACACTCTATAGGCATCACCAATATCATCCAGCACAAATGGTGAATTCCTTTCCTCCTCTATCGCATAGTCTGAAAACTGTATTCCCAGTTTACTTTCAGACGTGCTACTTCCTACTCTTCAGTGACAGACTAAGTAAGATACCACCACACACACACAAACACAGATCAATGTATATTTAGAGATTAGTAAAATAAATGTACTTTATGTTCAGACCTGTACCCGGTTCCACTGGCTCCAACTTTTGCTGATCACCTGTTTTCCTTTAATCATCCAAACTATCATGTAAGTTGACTGTTATTTTCAATGTCTTGCTATTTGACACTTGGTCTCCGCACAAACGTAAATTCGTTAATTTTCTTTTTTTAATTATTGCATGATGCATTATTTTTTAATAAATACAATTGATATTGAATTAAACAATTTATTCCACTCAAGCTTGTCACAATGTTTTTTTAATATATTTTTTTAATTTTTCATATGACTGGAGTTTTTGTAATGACAAATAAAAAATGTTATGTGTTCTCTGGATGAGATTGAGATTCAGAAATGTAAGAAAAATGAGAAATGTGTGGGGATTTATTTGGGCCATGTTTGGCCCAGGTGTAGCTGAAAAAATTAATCACCAATCACAGACCAGGGCCAGATGAGCCCCAGATGTAAAGTTTGAGTCACGGATCTGAGCCAGATCCACACCAAATATCATAGCATTAATAACTGTATCGGCCAGTACTGGTCAAGGTCTGTTCCTGATCCCCAATCCAAATCCGTGCCGGTATTGGGCCATTGGAAAGACCCCGGCGCAGACCCGTTTGGCAGATCTGCACCAAATTCTATCCAATATCTGGCACAGTTACCTTTTGCTGTCTGGGGATCCCCTGTAGTTCACCTGCACCTCTACTGGGTGAATTCAAAGAAGCTGAAGATTAGTTGTTTTCCATTCTGCGCCAGACTCAACTGCTCCCAGTACCCCAATCGCCTTCCCAATTGCCAGTAGCAGGCAATAAAATTGAAAAAGCCCCCCGAAATTGGAATTTAAAGTCAGCAAAAAAATGTAATTAAATCTATATCCATTTTATTGAAGTAGCTTAAAACCCAAATGCTTGGAGGCTATCGAGTTGATAATATTTAATGGGAGTCAGGAATGAGAAAGCAAAATTGATGAGAAACCAGAGCCAAATTTATACATAGCAAGAGGGCGCTCCCTTGTAAAACGGACACGTCATTATTGAGTTGATAATTGCGGTAGGTGGGTGAGTCAGTGTATAGTATGCAGTATCGGGCCTAGCCGATATGGCGCCCTAGGGGAGCGTCACGGCCGGCGCCCCCATCCAAGGCGAATTGAAACTGGTTGGCAAGTCGGCGCACCCTCAGAAGTTGACGTCCTAAGTAGCCGCCTATAGGATTGACTGACCCTGAAAATAAACAAACCAGGCAAACCTTTATTGAAACAAATTCAAAGACACGATTGGGTGTACTGACACGATTCTGCCACAAGATGTCAGTGAAAGGTCAGTAAATTTACTGCTGCGCACTGAAAAGCCTTTGTATTGTCCCCAAGGACGTTTAAAGTTGTATTTGTTTGGAATAAATTGTGCATTTAATGTAATAAACACAAGAAGAACAGAAAAATAAAGTGACGATTCGATCATTTTAGGTGCAAGTTAATACTATATACCTAACACATGGAGTAAACCCCTACATTATACCCGATTCAAGCTTGGCTTGCATTATCGGTGATGTTACTTTTTATTTACCTTGTTCCACTCCTTAGGCGGGGCAGTACAACTTGCTCAGAGCTGGTTGTGAGCTGTGTTCGTGGCACTTTCATCTTCCCTGAGTTACACTGTGTCCTCGAAGGCTGATTGACTGATAGTGTGCGGTTCTGTCAGCCACAGCCATTTGTGGTTTTAGCTGTTTGCCCGTCCTTACGTCACCCGTGACTTGGTGGAACGCTAATACTAGGGCGATTGGGAAACTTTCGTGTTGGATGACTGATTACAGCCCCTTTCATTGGAACAAACTTAATGAAATGATTATCAGCACCATGCTTCGGACTGTGTTTGTTTCACATATTGAGAATCTACACTGTTATCTTTAAGTCCCTCTGGATCCCTATCACCCAAGGAGGCACGATGATTCAGGAGGAAACAGGGGTATTTAACGAAAAAGTAAGACTAAATGTAAAACTTGGACTGGAAAAAAAACGAAATTTCGTTAAAATAAAATTTTAAAACTCATTTTTTTACATGACACTAAATAAAAACGACAATGCAACATGAATTAAAGTACAACAGAAATGCAAGTAAAATCGCCATCGTTATGGTTTCCATTTTACCCCCTCTATTTGCGGTGGTTGACATAAGAGGGTAGCAAATTACGTCACATCAGTGATGAAAATTCCTATTGCCTAATGATGTAGCCCTCGTAACATCATAGCACAATGCATGTTTGTGGTAAACAAACCTACTGCACTGCTAGTTGTATAAGAGTATAGCACATGCAATTACGTACAGTATATAATACTAGACAATGATAAAGATCTATGTCACTGGCTTATGTATTTACTATTCTGTACTTTTTATCGTTATTTAGGCTATACTATAGCTGCTATAGTATGCATTCTAGGTGTGTACTAGGGTGTACTGTGCAGGTTTGTTTAAGTGCACTCTTTGTTCTCACAATGGTGAAGTAGCCTAACAACGCATTTCTCTTATCGTATCCCTGTTAAGCGACACATGACAGTATTGATTTTGCTAAGTGAAACTACACTGATGTTATTTTAGATTTTATGTGCTATTTAGTATGATTTGGTTGGTTGTTCTTTTGAGTCTGGGAATGCTCAAAACTGTTGCAGAATGGGGAATACCTGTATTCCAGAGTCAAAGTCAAGTTTCAGTGGTTAGTAAATGCTGTAGTGTGTAACAGTCGTGGTTTCTGAGTACAGGGTTAGGTACAGGCTACTTGCCAAAAGGCCTGCTTTCTTTATCCACCTTCCCTTCGGGGGGATGTAAAAATGTACCTAGCCCAAGGTGATATTTTGTCAGTGGGTGCAGGAGTTGTTGTTACAGTCCTGCCCCCACCCTTAACCCCCCCCCCCCCCCCCCAAGGCCAGCAAGTGAGTCCGGGAGCAGCTGCGATAAGTCATGTCTTTCCCATAAAACTGTGACCAAGCAACGCTATCTGTGTGCGCTAGTCCGTGTATGGACATGTTCAGCTATGTAGCTTGTGGAACCCAGATAGCAGAGGCTGAAAAAACTGCAGTTTTCCCCCCACATAAAATAAACCCTTCAAAATCTTCATCTGCTTAAAATAAGACTATTATGAATTTTCATCGGTTTTTGAGTTTTGATGATTTGCTGTTATGGTTAGTTTACTACACTACAATGGGAATCATTGGGGGGCGTCTCCACAGATTTTACTGTGCCTAATGAGCATGTCAGTGTCACGCTTGATGCATTTTGGCTGCTCTTAGCTACGGAAGCAGGCTTTACAGAAATGGACTTCGAGGGAGATTTGGCAGGTCAGAATATAAAAACCGCTCAATTCCCTAAATCGCCATGAGGTTTAACGTAGAGTCCAAAACAATTAGCGTTGCATGCTTGTGGAAGTCCGATTGCTCCTGCTAATCACTACTGAGATAGAGAATATTAGGAGCATTACTGATGTGTTTGACCACAATGCAAAGCCACACATTTTAAGGTTAAATCCAGCGTTAAAAAAAAATAAATGAAAAAGCTTATTTCTGCATAATGCCTATGAGTTTTTACCCAACTTCTTTAAATTCTAATCTCTGTGGTAGGAAATCCATTCCATTTCTCACTCTTCTCCTTAAGAACATGGAAATGCAGGCAGCGTGACGTCTGCCCACACTGATTAATTACTTCTCATGCTGTCAGTTACTTTTGCAGCAGCCGTATGGGAGCTCAGGAAAGCCATCAATCCTACTGTTTATAATGGGCCTTGACAGGCTGACACATGCTTACCAACCTGACTCCGCTCTGGGACTTCATGGAAAATTCCATGAAGTTCATCGAGCCTTCCAGTTTGAGGGGAATAGACCGTCTGGGTCCAGAGACTGTGCAGCGATGTAACTATGACGGTGACGTGTGCGTGAGGCTAAAATGCCCATGTGCACCCAGGTTACACCACACACTGCAGTCTGCATCATTTTATTTCCCAGTATGCATCCCCAGATCCACCTCAGTCTTATATTTCAGTGCATCTTTCACCTGCCTGCTGTGGACAACAAAGAGACGTATCTCCTGTAATACAACTCAAATCCTTTGATTCCAGTGTTAAGGAACCAAGTCGGCCTGTGGACCTCCTGCTGTCTCCACCTTTTCTGAAGCTCAAACAGTATGGTTGTGTTTCTACAAGGGGTCAGAGGACCTTAAACTCACCCAGCAGAGAATAGCAGCCTGCAATTCCTTACCAACCGATACAAAATCATGTACTAACATTTGATATTAACGGTGTAACGGTACACAAAGTTCACAGTTCGGACTTGGGTTCAGTGCAATTTTGGTACAGCAGGAAAAACACAATTTGCTTTGAAATTATTTATTATTAAAACTGCAAACATAAACAGAATTAGGAATAGTTGTAAACCAAAGGCAATGCTTCTGTTCGAGGTGTCTAATATGAAAACCTAAGATTTATGATATGCACATTGCAAAAATATGTAAAATTTTCTTTTATACCAAAATTTAACATTAACAAAATAATCATAATGAACAAAATTGCGTGTTCTCTACCACCGAGTATGGTCGCGTATCTGTGGTGGTAAACACCCCTTTAGCCTGCAGTGATTTCTCAGACCGGTCTCAATTTCCTGGCAAAAGCACCACGGGGAGACTAACTTGCGGAGGCTGTTTCTGTCTTGCTGCGGTCATACACACTCTCAGAAGATGTCTCAAATGAGTTAACACATTGGATGTGTTTCCAGCAACATATCCAAGTTCGTTATAGCAGAGCCGACAGACAATCTTGGTCGTATCAACTACTCTCTCCCCAGTGTTAATGTAATTTATTGGGAAACTAAAATGTTCCCTATCCGCCAATTATAACTGACTGTAACTAGTACTACTCATAACCAACTCAGCCATAAGCAGCATAATGTTTTTTGTGCTGAACCTCTACTTGTGAATTTAAGTTCTGCCCATGTCAATAATAAATGTATGAATTTGTTTCATTGTGTGTATTGATACGAAAATGATTTGCCGAATGGCACATGGCGAATATGTGTACCGTTAAAGCCCTGCTTGTTATGTATCTGGACTCATTGCTTTAGCCATATGTAGCGTTGTAGTAACCTGAATGTGGCTAATTTTAAACTAAAGGCATATTGCTTATGTCTGTCTTCCTGCTGAGGAGACCGAGGCAGGAGGAGTCTCTGGGGAGATGCTGAAGCCATCTGTTTGAGGATGACGCCCCTGAAAACAACACAGTGGATCAGAGGTAAGATGCTGGGGACAAATGGTCTCATGGATGCCAGATGCAATCCTTTGTACCTCCATATCTGGGCCAGGCTGACAGCCGACACAGCAGTATCCCGGTGACGTTGCAGACATCAGACAACAGCCGAGTGGGTCATGGGTCTCTCATCTGCTTATAGGTTACAGTTCCTCCATGCACCACTTCTCTGTTTGTCTGTCTGTCCGTTTCTCTCTCTCTCTGTCTCTCTCTCTCTATCTCTCTCTCTCTCTCGTGTATACACAAATACAAATACGTAAACATATACTGTATACACACAGTCACAGAAAATTAAGTATAAATGGTCTTCATGTTGGTGTAAAAATAGGATATATCTGTCAAAGTGTGTCAGCTTATCCTTTTCAAAACCTCTCCTAAAATCACTGCAACAGTTGTCCAATACACCCCTGTATGTTTTGAGTGACTAATACCTTATCTTGTTTGGCTAATCGATACCTAAGTAACCCCTAATTATGTAAGTGAGCTAATTATTTGCATACAGTGCTGCCCTACAAAGGCAAAAAATAGTAACTACACTGGCACTGAAGCAGAAAAGGGGTTAAGGCAAAAGGCAGGTTTTTTAGACTGTCCAACCATATGTGTAGTAGGCAGGAACATGATAGTGTCGGCCTACTTATTAAAATGTAGCGTAGGCTTGTTGATCTAAGATATTTTGTCATGAGATAAATCAGCCTAAGGGACCTGATTTCGATCATAACTCAGTTTTGACAAAATATGCATTTACAGTGTTTTGTTTTTGTATGGCAGTGTAAATATCCGGAAGTGTAAAATAACGAAGTACAAATACAGTTGACCCTTCCGCTTCGTGGGGGTTAAAAAAATATTTATATAAGGCTTTCCATTGCATTTACAAAATCACGAGATCGCAATTTTCTCTCATGATTCTTGTGCAATAAATTTGTTTATCATTATTATTATTATTTTGCATTACATACTGTCTTTATGAATATGGAACAAACAATATGTAGAGGTGCACAATACATCAGGTACGAATACCGAAATTGCCACCCAGTATTTAAACTTATACTACTGAAAAAATGATAATGGTGACTTTGGCTGATCAGCCATTTTCCATAGTAGAGGACGAGGATTTTATAAGAGGTCTCAAAGTACTGACCTGCAAAATGTTAATAATTCATTGTTAAATCTGGTCTACAGATCAATTTTTTTGTTTTAAATAGAATTTGAAAAGTCATTCCGCTAATTTGCACTTGTAAGCTCAGCAAGTTTCACCCCTTTTTCTTAATAAAAGGAAAATTTCCACTTGTGCTCTTATGACTCAGTTTTGCTTATTCTGATGCACTGTAACTTGCGATGCTATTTTCTAATCTGTCTTAAGTACGTTTAAAAGGATAAGCTGATTTTTGTAAGATCAATAAATTTGAATGTATAGTACTTTTACTGGTAAGTATTTTTAACCAGGTATTTTTTTTTTTAACTTAAGTACTGGATAACTTTTACTTGAGTAACATTTTGGTGTGGCATCTGTACTTTTACTTTAAGTATGTACAGTGAGTACTTTTTCCACCTCTGGTAATATAGCAAATGATGTTTTCTGAACAACACCATAGACTGTGAAGAAAACAGACTAGCGGATTCTTGACCATATCAGACCTGATACCACATCCATGTTGGATACAAAGAAATCGGCAGGTGTACCTTACTAATGACAGAGAGGGAAGTGACCAGCTACAAAGTGAGGTAAGAATGGATTGACCTGGTTGGGGTTTTTAGAGATACAAGCCAAACAAACAGGCCAAACGAGTCCACTAGCTTATCTATTCACACCAGATACACTATACTATAATCAGGGATCAAGGCATGGTGCTGGATGGACACCCAAACAATCCTGAGCAAGCTGACTGTTTATAGCTACTAGAGCTCATTAACTGCTGTTGCTTCCGGTTGTTGTAGTATTTGTTATCTCCTGGCACCCAGCTCCTCAGTAGAGCCTGCAGACATAGACAGCAGACAGGGCATTCTGGAGGAATGCATCTATATTGTCACCAGGAATCAACATCAACTCGGTAGCACCTATAATAAATTTTAAGTTCTATTTTTTTTGGTAAAATCTTTATTGAGCTACAAAAATGGAAACATTTTGGTAAATTTACATTGTTATCCGCTAGGTGGCCTACGTCATTCAACTCTTTGCTGGCTAAAACGTAGACTAAAAATAATTCTGTTCCATAACTGGACACAATGTCACTAAGGACATAGACACATCTTCTCTCTGATTACGATAGAGCAGCATCTGTGTCTCTTACTTTGTGTGATATTTTAGCTTCTCGGTTACGTTTGGTCAGTTGCAATCTGCCATTTGAAAGACTGGGATGAATTGCGGGAAGCTGTGAAGTCAGAGCAGCTGGAACAAATGCTGTTTACTGTGTTGTTTTTGTATGTATGTATGTATGTATGTATGTATATAAAACCTGTCAGAGATACTCCATCTAAATTTTAAAATGTAATTTACATCTCTGGCTTTAAAAAGCATTATGTTTTCACTGATCAATGAAACTCGATGGTCATGACAAGGAGCCATGCACTGAAGCCAATTAGCAATGTCGGTGCAGAGAGGTGAGAATGTTTAAAGCGGGGGTGTGACATATGCTTTGGATCTGCTCATTTCCACTCCTTCGAAGTTCAAAACCACCTGTGCTTGCAGCGCGCTGCAGCTCTTTCCAGGTGCTGGAGATCAAACGCTTTATTTCCGGCAGAGACCCTTAGGTGAACTTCACAGAGTTACGGAACTTGAAGAAGCGAATGCAAAACAAAGAAAAAGCTGGTGTAAAAATAAAGGCAAGAAGAGGCTGCGCGTGGAGGAGATGGAGCGTCCCTGGGTCGAAAACAGCCCGGCTGTCAGTGCTGGCGGAATTGGCCTCTCTGACATGAGTTAAACCCGCGGTAAATTGGGGGTGGAAATGCAGGTGCCAATCATTGATGAAACAGACAAACTAATGCCTGTTGGTGCAAATATAGGATGGAGCAGAAATAGGCAGTAGATGACAAGGGCCAGTCAAGGTCAACGACCACTGAAGGTTCATGGACGTCTTCTTTTAAAGACCCTGATTTGAAATTGTTGGTTAGAACAAATCAGCTCACTGGATTCACCGCATACCGTTTACTGACTGGTTCAAAATGTAGCTTTAAGATGTACAGAACTAAGACCAGCATGGAAGGGGATCTAGCGTACGTGAAAGATGTAATATCCTGATGAGAAGGAAGGCTCAGACAGATCAGGCTGGGACACAGTGCTACATATGAAAAATGCACTAATATCTAAATGCCAGAAGCTTTAGAAATAACATTGACAATATTGACGCTATGGTGTTGACTGTTGTATGAATAATTGTGAGTAAACTAGACATGGGACATTATATATAATATACACAGTTTAGGTCAGGGAATTTATGCAAGAGGATGTGGCCAGCAAAGCTGATGCTGTATGGGTGAAGTTGGAGGACGACTTCGTGGGCATCTGCGACAGGCCGCCCAGCTGAGATGCTGAGGGCAGGTGTGAATCATAAAACCTGAAAAATTAGCAGCTTCTGTGACGTCGCGGTCGTCGCTCACTTCACTATTGCCAAAATGAATTGGGATGCTATTACAAAGAGTATGATTTGCAGAAAATGATGGAACTGATTGAAATTGCTTCTGATTAAATTTGTACCATCTCCTGCTAAGGTGGAATATGCTTATCATTATATATTCTCTAAAAATCGGGTCAGAACAGGAATCATTGATCATACAGAGATTTGTGGCCACAATATGAAAGTATGTAGGGTATGATGGGGGGTAATTCTAGCCCCCTTTTCACTGTTTTCCTAGTTTTACAAGAATGTGTGCAGCACTCGCTAGGAAATAAGTCAATGCCACACTTCTGCTGCCATCTATGAAGAGAATAAAGCAAATTATATAGCTGGGGTAGATATGGTTTATGAAATAGAGCTGAAAATTAAATGGGTAATCAGAAGCTACTGTAAAATTACACGAGGGACTAGAATTACCCCATCTTGCCTTAACTTAAATTTATGCATTGCTTGAGAAGTAAACCTGAAAACAACTGAACTCTAACCTAAGAGACTCGAAAACAAAATTCATTACAGTGAGCTATGAAGTTTACATGTAGACAGGGAAGAAATAATGATGGGTGCAGGTGGCTGACTGTCTAAAAACATATTACTGAAGGCTGGTAGAGGTGTCTAGATCTTATTTTAGGTATTGGAAGAGTGGGTAAAAATCACTGATTAGAAAATTTGCAAATGTGCTAATTCACAGTCTTGCTAATTAGACAGTAATCATCTGTGTATTATCAGTAAACGTAATCTGGTTATTATAAAGCAGCAGATGGTCACTGATATTTTCACCCACGGATGTTCCGGAAACTGAGGTCAGAAGCAAACATTCCAAACAGAATGTTTGGCTCAAGAAACTAAATTGGGCAGCTGAGTAGCTCAGAAAACCATCGCTGTGAGTCTCACTTGGTAAAGTCACACGGTCAGAATGAGATGAACCTCCGTACGTCTCATCTCAGGTATTGTCTTGCCCACGCCTCTACGCCCCGGCTCCCGCACAAGCGAGATTAAAGTCACAGTTTGACGAGGGGCCAGCGTCGCCCGCCAGATGACAGTGCTCTAGCGGTCAGCGATTTCTCCTTAGTGTTGAGGGGATCATTGCTGTTGCTATGAGGAGGTGACGCTGCAGGTAGGATGAAGGTGGCATCCCCATAATGTGCTCCTGTGTGACCTGCCGGGGATTCTGGGAGTTTTGATTATGAGAGCCGTGCAGGTAATACAGACGAGTTGTGGCTGTGGGCCGTGCCATTTGCGGGGGGATCCTGAGCAGGTGGGTCACTCTTAGTCATGACTGTAAGATCTATTTTGTCTTTTTTCCCCCCCCCCACTTGGGTCCCCCTTGATAGATATGGTCAGGATTTGGCGTGAGTAAGCTGATCCTAGACCAACACCTTGGTACATATTCAGGGACAGATCGTAATTACAAGCAGATCGCTGGCCTCTTGCTCTCTGCTCTGAAAGTGAGCCAAGCAAGGCACTACATCTTCGGAGGGAGGGGGGTCAGGGGAGAGAATGAGAAAGGTGGTTAATTTGTCCAGGGGCAACCTTACGCAATTACAACTGATTTTTGACAGATAAGTAAACGCCAGCCTGTTCTGCAGTCAGACCTTCAAGGTTTCCTCAATCCCCTCGCCGTGTCGAACTGATGTAGCTGAGTAAATGTCTTCAGCAGCAGCACTGAAAGAGTATCAGCACATTAAAACCGTTTTCCATTATAAGGACTTTTTTCTTTCTTTCTTTTGTTTCTGAGCTGGCACTGATGGTACTAAAGAATCGGTTTAAAACAGAACTCGTTTATCCCGGGGTGACGAAGTAAGCGAAGTGTGATTCTGAATCCTTTATTGTGTTTACCAGCCCTTTCGACACAAATCCTTCCGTTGATGCGGTTAAGCAAAGCCCTCAAGTGTGAAGCCACACAGCCTCAGGATAAAGTCATTTGTTGTGTTCCTGCGCAATGCACTTGAATATGTGTTCAGTAACGCATCCATAAATGTAACATTTGTAAGTATTCTTTTGAACAGAGATTGTTCATAATGCATTAATGTAGTAATATATCCATTGTCGCGAAAATATTTATCCAGTGCATTATGGCAGAGAGTCTGGGTCTTGTTTAGAAATCAGTGGTCATTGTTGACACACCACAGCACACAGTGTGCAACAACAAAATGAGTCCTCTGCATTTAACCCATATGTGATGTTGTGACACTAACTTGGCACCCGGGGAGCAGTACTTGGGGGTGGCACCTTGCTCAGGGTACCTCAGTGGTGCCTTGCTGGTCGGGGATTCGAACCTGCAATCTTTTAATTACAAGTGCGCTTCCCTAACCATTAAGCCACCACTGCCTATAATATCCCAGGAGGAGGCTTGGGGCAGGAGGACACCCTCGGAGAGATTGCCCGACCATCACAGGGCACACACTGATACACATCACAGCAGAAGGGCAATTTAGAGAAAAGAAGTTGTGTTTTTGACTGTGTCAGGAAGCTGGAGCACCTGGAAAGCCACGCAGAAACATGAGGAACTCGTGTGGAAATCAAACCCACAACCTAGGAGATGTGAAGCCAACAATATAGAATTATAATAATGCATAAAAAAGGACCTGTTCAGGAGAAGCAGCTAGAAGATAGATGGCTGGATAAATAAAAGAGGATATTGGATTAATAAAGGGGGATGTTGGAGACAAACTACCTTAAGGCACTCTATAGGATTATTTTTAATTGGTATCGCACATGTACATAACCACAGAACCCAAGGTGTCCTTCTCTTCCATTCCTGTGTGGGCCGTTCAGGTTATTGGTTCTGTCTCACCACCTGCAAAGCTGACTTAAGCATCCAAAGGCTTAATTAGTAATTTAATTAGCCCAGAGGCTAGGGATGGGGGTGGCACTTCAGGAATCACACGGCTGAGTTTAATCCTTCGCCAGCGCCCCAGCTGTCTTGTGATCCCTCCGAGATGCGGAGGTGAACCCCTCAGCTCTTTGCCCTGAGGGGTGCTTCATATCCCCCTCACTCATTGGCGTGTTGGCATGTCGAGGAAAGATAAACACCTACCTGTGAAAATGTGTGTGTCGCATGTGGGTATAGAAGTGATGTGTGAAACAGCTCCTGTTACTACATTGCCCTTA